CAATACTAGGGATTGGATAGACGCTTGATCACTAGAGAAATCATGCAAGGGCTATTTTCTTACAAAAGCAGAGCCATTTTCTTACCTTGGTGCTGCCTAGATAGTATATGTTCTCTTCCCCTTTTAGAGAGTAAGAAAAAAAGGAGTTTGTTTTGTTTGGTAAGATTGAGAAGATTCAAGGAGGCAATGATTTAAGGTGACATAGTTTCTGTATCAATCACCTGTAGTGGATGTTGTTGTATGGCTTCAATCCTCTTAACAGATTCTTTACCAGATTTGTCAGAGGCAAATAAAGATCAAACAGTTTCCAAGGAGAACAGCTTCAGAAGCATACGAGCAATGACGATTAAGAAAGATGATCAAGATGTAAGGTTCTTGGTCACAAATTCCATAGAGAAAGTTGTATTGATTTTTGTGTTTGAGTTGTTCTTTGCAGGATGCAGGAAATGAGCTTAAATCACTGCTAATACTGTTGGTCTAAGAGGTTCAATTGACTCCATCAGCGATGCAGGTTGGATGGGAATGCGCACTCGCCTTGATGACGTAACTTAGCTCCTGCAACAAAGAAGGGGCATTAAGACGGGGTGAAACATGGACTCCACTTCTCAACACGTTCTGCAGCAGCAAGCTAGAGCTAGAGAAGATTTACAAAGTCCAAATACAATTCTATGAAGTTTCCTTCTTCTACATAGAACACAATTGTTTTGCCAAAAACGATACTGTTTTCTTTAGAACAAAAATGGTTCACTGATATAAACTTATAATACAAGTTTTGTGCTCACTGAAGAGGAATTTTATGAGAACAAGATAAAAAAAATACTACAAGTTAGAATTACAATTTACAAGCTTATTACTGATTTCATATATATGCTTTACTATTTTTCCAACAAATAATCTTAAACAAATGACATTTAAAAAGGATAGTTATGAGTACTAATCATTGAACAGTTAACACAGTCTTTAAGTTAGTTAAAATACATATAATTTCAATTTTAAAACTACACATTACTAAAATATTAAATTTTATATATTTAGTTAATTACAGTATATGATTTATCAATAAAATTCTGGATGCAGAAATTTAGAGTTAATAAGTATGATGAAAAATATTTTCAATGCATATTTAAAAATTAACAACAGATAATAAGAATTAAAAAAAATAACATTTTGATCAAAGAAGAGTTATCCCAAATTTATGACCAGATAATAATAATAATTTTCCTGATTTTAGGAATGTGATTAGTTGTATAGTCAAAATATTTCTTCGCATGCTTGAGTGTATAATAGATGTTACAAACATCCCCTTCTAATGCTTGAGGACATTAATAATAATAAAAATGCAAAAAATAATTTCTCTATCGAAAAGTAAACTATTGATAATTTTAAATTATGTGATACAAACATAAAATATATTATAGATATACATATATATATATATATAATATGTGATATAATATTCAAAAGAATTTTAAATTATACACATAAATTAAAGTATAATAACCTAATATATTTATAAATTATAAATTTAAGGTACTTAAAATATATTTGCATATCTAAGACAACAAATAAGAACCAACTTAAATGCGTATAGGAAAATTAATCAAAATTTTAGTATATTTTGAGCATAATATTATAGTTGAAGTGAGCGAAATAGATGTTATCCAGTATAGCTAATTGATAACCAAATTGATTTGTTGACCCCAAAAACAGTTAAATCGGCTAGATATAATATATCTAAAATTATATTTCTAATTAAATAATATAAATTTCTTAATATAAATGATAAATTGATTTAAAACTTAAATAAATATCAGTCAATTGTTATAATATAGTTATTTTATAATTAATCTGTAATATTACACTGTTTTTATTATTTAAATCCAAAGTATTAATGTAACATATAGTTGTCTAAAATATTTAATAATAAATTATACATTTTAAATTTTAAATCAATCCTTTTTAATAATAAACAATTCCTCAACACAGTTTAATTCATTGTTTTAATAAATTTTGAAATATTAATCTTAAAACTACAGTATTCAAAACTTTATTTATTTTAAAGAGAGAAACAAACTTAGTGAAAAATAGAATCATTATTTACATGTCTGTAACTTTAGTTTTTAATTTAAATAACTATATATACTAATTTATTTTAAATGAAAATAAAATATTATTTTTATATTTTCGTAATTTAAAAATACCTAATAAAATAAAAGAGTACAAAAGGGTTTGTTTTATTTTTTACCACAAACCAAAAACCAGCAAATACTAAAAAATAATAAAAAAATAGTTACAATCATGTTAAATTTACAAATTAATTTTTTTAAAAAATTGCTGACTAAACATTTTTACTCCAAACTTATATTTAAATATTTTCAAACATTTTATACGCAAAACTAATTTGTTTTAGAGAAAGTGAGAATATGTAATAAAATATGTCAAATTTTTATTAAACAATGAAATGTAGTAAATTTTTAATATATAATAAATAACTTATTATATATATAATAGGATTTTCTTTTTTTCACTAACATAAGATTAAAAAATAGGAAAAAATATATATATTTAAATATATATATATAGTAAGTTTTTAATATATAATCAATAAATTATTATATATATAATAGGCTTTTATTTTTTACGTTAACATAAGATTAATTAAAGCCAACATTTTACATCTTTAAATTGAGAAAAATTAATTAAAAATAGATTTAAAAGATATGTTCCGCGCGTAGCGCGGAGAAAAGATCTAGTATTATTAATAATTGATAAATGATAATTAATTTTTAGCCAAAATCTATGTTTATAAAAATCACACACGAAGAAGTTTATAAATTTTGTTTTAATATAATAGATAAGGATATAATCGGTTTGTAGATTGGTTGGAGGGATTTATTTAAAAGATTATGATTTAAATAAATTAAAATTAAAGGATCCAAAACATAATTTTTGTTACCTAGAAAGTCATATCAAAATTTGATCCTCCCCCTCCTCGCCTTCGAGAGCGCCTTATTTTTCGACCTTTAATCTTGAATGGGAAAGCTAATTATATCTGTCACTGCCAGATATAGAATTTCTATATCCCTTAATTTTAAGAAAACATCCACCAACTGATCAACACTAAAATTAGTCGTTTACTAAAACATATTTGGTTACTAATTAATCATCATCCCAAAAATAACTATTTTAAACGCATCTGGTATCCACTATATAAGCACCAATAACCTCTTCTTCATAACTCCACAGAGCAAATTCCAAATACAATAAAATAAATAATTACAAAATAAGTGAGCTCCTGCTCGGGGTTTTCTTATAAAAATTATTGATTTAATTTATTTGGAAAATAAAAGTAACAAATAAAATTAATAATAATATGGGGATGTCTAAAAGTATCAAAGTTATTTTCTCTCTGGCTCTTGTGGTGTTCTTGGCTCTTGCAGCAACCAAGATAGAGGCAAGATTCATAGATTATCATGCCCTTCATCATGGAGATCCCAGTCGCGGTTGTAGTAAACTACACCCAATGTTCTGCAAGAAAGAAGAAGCCAATCCTTACACCAGAGGTTGCGAGGCTGATACTCGTTGCGAACGTCCCTCAAAAAGGTGAATCAAGTAAAGCACCACTCTTGGTTAAGTTTTACAAATGACATCCCCATATGAATATCATATGATTAATTTCTTTCTTTTGTTTTATCTATACTCTGTTATTGGTTATTGGTTATGTAACTGATTGTTACCCTATTATTTATGATCAATAAATAATTATATTTATTTATTTGTTCATTCTTTTAAGCCTATCAGCGTCACTGAAATCTCTCTCACCTTTTTTATGCATTTAAACTAATATTTTAATATAACTTTTATCTAATTAAATTTAATAACTAAAAAATAGTTATGTGTGTTTCCAAAAAAAAAAAAAAAGTTATGCAATTAGGAAATTTATCCGGTAGGATTGAGCTCTTCCCGTATGTGCAATGTTTCTTTGCAAACAATAGTTTCTCATTTTTTTCCTTCTCTCTTTCCTATTTTATTATATCTAATTATTGATTCTATGTAGACCACTAACGGTGCTCTAACAATCGTTCGTGCTGTTTTTTTTTTTTTAATCATGATAGTTAATATGGATTAAGTTTATTTCTCAATGTTAGTGTAGGTGTCAATACAATACAGTAAAGTTAATATAAGTTCAATCAAGATGAAATAAGATAGTAACCAAGTAACAAAATTTAAGCTAATGATTCAACCAAAATAAACAAAGAATCAAGTCACGTTTTCAATCGAGGCTAAGGAAGAATCCATGAGCAAAGGCAATTGATCAAAATCAATAGGTCAAGACACAAACAAAGAAGTTTCTATGTGATCAAGCATTAAACATCAAATCCTTTCGATTTAATACAATCAAACATGCATTTTTTTTTCAATCCTGACATAAAATATCTTTAGTTAATCAAACTAAATCAAAACTAAGTTCATATAAACCTTTTAACAAATAGATTCAATGCATAAAAGGACTTAGAGTCTAAATGAGAGTGATCAGTCTAATCTCACATTATAAACCCTTATCAGAGATTTAACAATAAACAACTTGACTCACCAAATCACTTTAGATCTACCTAATCATGAATTCAAGATGTGTGTACACACTAATCCCCATGAACAACCTTAAACTCATACAAAGTTCAAGACAAGTCATGACTTAAAAGCAAGACGAACACTAAGTACTCAAGATTCAAAAGTCAAATTGCATGAAAGATTATTTTTTTTTTTTATATTTCACCAAAAGATAATTGGTTCAGAGAGAAAAAAAGTTTTGGCCCAAATTAATCCTAGAAGTTATTCTTTTTGGCCATTGTCATTCCTTACAAAATGCGGATACGTTCATCACAAAGGGTGTTACAATACGACGAAGCTGGTGATACCAAGAGAAAGCAACAAGATTGAAGGATACAAGAGGATGAGAGAGACCAACATAAAACACATGGGATGATGTGATGATCATCTCAGTGGAACTTAAGGCTGGTCAAGACATTGTTGTTGACTGGATCCGCCAAATGATCAAGAAGGTTCTGGTAAGGCCCCACACCAGTCACTAGTCCCTGCACAAAATAGCCTAGGATTGCAAGCATAGCCAGTCTACCGTTCTTGACCTCCTTGAGTTTCAACTCCTTCATTGACTTCTCGTCTTTCCCAAACCCAAGAGGGTTAAAGAAAGGTCCACCTGGGTAAGACGGGTCACCCGAACCGGCAAAACCTTTCTCTAGCCCCAAGAAGTACTGCTTGCCCATTGATCCTGGGTTGTACCAGTCCTGTAACCTCCGGTGCTCAGCAAATCCCATCAAAGCCATCTCGAGGACAAAGAGTGTGTAAGGGTCTGCCTAGTAGCTGTATGTCCCGGCAGGTGGAATCACACCGGTCTGGAACCAAGGAAGAGCAGTGTCTGCTGGAATCAAACCAGCCTTGCCAAGAATCTCAGGTGCAATAGCTCCAGCTGCACCCAACATAGCGAACCGTCCATTGATGATCTCTCCGTAGGCTAACCATCTCGGCTCGATGAAACCTCCTGTACCTTCCGGGTCTGAAAGACCAAGCGGGTCGAATCCATAGTCGCCAGGTAAGCTGCAGAATCACAACATATCCCCAATTTGTGAATCACTTTCTTTTATAAAGTCTAACACACTTTTGAGGATCGTTAAGCTTTAAAGGAATCAAATATTTGGAATTACCTGCCATCCAAGTAAGAGAGACTCTGTGATGATGCAAACCACAATGGTCTGTTTGTTCCTTGCTGAAACCAAAACACACAAAAACATGATCAGATTATTCAGCTTACAGTGATAGAGAGGGAGATATTTTTTTAAAGACTATGTCATGTGTACCTTGACAGGTGGAGTTGAGGCAGCCTTAACAACAAAGGAAGTCTTCCTCACGGAGACAGATGGTTTGGTGCCGAATATATGTTTAGCGGTCTGAACAGAAGAGGTAAGTGAAGAAGACACAAGTGCTTGTGCTGCCATTTTTTGGCTCTGTTTCTCAACTCTTCTTTTGTGTCACCAAGAGATGATGATGATGGTTCGTTCAGTTATGATCTGCAAGGCAGTGTTGGGTAGAAAGAAAAAGATTCAGTACTTGTGGCTTTAAAATAGCCCAACTGGTTTTGCTCTGTTTAGATTAGTATCTGCTTCACCAACTATATCTGTCCACGTGGAAATACAAATTGGATAAGAGATTTTGGTTTGTGTCCTATTCCTTATCTGCCCCACAACTCACACAAGAGCAAAAAATATCTTTACACTGAAGCCAATTGGATATAAAACATATAATACTGTGGTAGATGTCCACAAAAAAAATGCTTTTTATTTTAACATGCGTTTGTTTCTTCATATTTTGAGTTTTGGCATAACCAAACAAAATTTATATTTATACAACATTTGACAATAATTAAATCTTACATGTTTGAGAAAAATATAACTTTTAGTTTCTTTTTAGATTCTGAATAAAAACTTATATAAAAAGTACGTGGAACCTACTTATGTTAAACACAAAGATTAATTATTTCATGTTCATGTTCAAGCATGTTAAAAAAAAAAAAAACAATGTTCACCTTGCCATCATCTTCAATTTGAGATGCATTTCCCATTTTCCATTGGTGGTTATAGATCTAAGGTGGTGATGGCTAATTCGGCAATCTTCGGATGGTGCACAGATTCCCGGTTCATAGCCTTGCTCTGTCTGTAGGGTTAGAAATAGATCGTGATACCCGAAACCTTTCTCTCTCGCATTCCGTTTTGATCCATGTGGTGGAGCTTTTTCGTTTTAGTGGCGTCGCGATGGTGGGTAGTTTGGTGAGGAGACGAGACGACGGTGTGGGATTTAGCTTCAGTCCGGATTTACTGGTTCTCCCCTCTCTCCTCTTGCATTATTTGAGGACAGCGAGCTGAGCTCCTTGACCTACACCTTACCCTTATTTAATCTCCATGCAATCCTTTTCACTGTCATATATGCTGTGCAAAAAAATGGAGAGATTAGGGTAGACGTGATTCTCTATGTTACTTAAGTAGGATTATATCCTAAACTAATCAGTTTGGGATTGTATCACCTCGTTTGGGGTTTTGCTTTATTTTATTTTATTTTATTTTTGTTTTATGTTTTAGTTTAAATTTCCACTTGTCATTTTAAAAAAACTAAAAATATTTTAATACGAAGAACCTTAAAAAAAATTATATATATATAGGTCAATCCCACTAGCTTCAGTTTTTAATTGTATTTGGTCTTTGGTCAATTTATCTTAGTCTTCGATTTATGTATTTATTAGGCTTACCCAAGAGATGAATGTACCCAGTTGCATCTTTTAAACTCGTTCATAGTGTAGATGTCTACTTCTCACTGATTCCTGATTTGACAGAGCTACAAAGGAAACAATTTTTCCATTGAAATCAAATGTGCTTGGTTAATTGGGTAAACGGTTGGAGTTCTTGATACAATCTTTCTGGTCCAACTAGTTAACACGAGCATTACAAGTTGTCTTTATTATAAAGCATTGTTTATGCTTATTTGAATAATGTAATGCAGAATCTTGTAAGACGGGCGTTGTGGTCAACATTGTCTCGAGGTCATTTACAATAATTCACATTAAGAAGTCCTTGAATATATTTTCTTAGCTTACTTTCTCTTGCATTCATGTTCTCTTCTTACACTAATCTGAAAAGATAATTCTTGGAGCCACAGGAACACACACAGGAATGACGAGGTTTTGTTTCTTTGATTCTTTGCTTTTGTTGACCATGCTCTTAAATTTTTGCTATGCACCTATAACGCCAACAAGTCCTTTGTCACTAGGCCAAACTCTCAGATCCTCTAACGAGGTTTATGAGTTGGGGTTCTTCAGTCCTAACAATACTAAGAATCAATATGTAGGAATCTGGTTCAAAGATACCACTCCCCGGGTCATTGTATGGGTGGCCAATAGAGAAAAGCCTGTTACAGACTCCATGGCAAATCTATCTATTAGCAGCAACGGAAGTCTTATTTTATTTGATGGAAAACATGGAATTGTGTGGTCCAGTGGAGTAACATTTGCCTCTAACGGGTATCGTGTGGAGCTTTCAGACAGCGGAAACCTTATTGTCGTAGATAACATTTCAGAAAGAACTCTATGGCAAAGCTTTCACCATCTTGGTGATACTCTGCTACACTCCTCATTCCTGATGTATAACCTCGCTACCGGCGAGAACCGGTTTTTGACTTCTTGGAAAAGTTATAACGATCCATCTCCTGGCGACTTTGTGTCTCTGATTACACCGCAAGTTCCATCACAAGGGTTTATTATGAAAGGCTCGACGGCTTACTGGAGAAGCGGTCCATGGGCTAAAACAAGGTTCACTGGCCTACCTCTAATGGATGAATCATTCACAAGTCCATTCAGCCTACACCAGGATGTAAACGGGTCAGGATACTTTTCATATTCTGAAAAGGACTCTAATCTTTCACGTATAGTTTTAACATCAGAGGGATCATTAACGGTGTTTCGGCATAATGGAACGACCTGGGAGTTTAACTATCAGACTCCAGCCCATTCATGTGATTCTTACGATGCATGTGGACCTTTTGGATTGTGTGTTACTTCTGTTCCTCCAAAGTGTAAATGTTTCAAAGGGTTTGAACCAAAATACACCGAGGAGTGGAAAAGAGGAAACTGGACTGGTGGCTGTGTGAGGCGAACCGAACTACTTTGTCAAAGAGCCTCTAGTGGTAAAGATGTAAACGTGTTTTATCCTGTTGCCAACATAAAGCCTCCAGACTTTTACGAATTTGCAAATTCCGTGGATTTTGAAGAATGCCACCAAATTTGCCTCCACAATTGTTCTTGCTTGGCTTTTGCTTATATTAGTGGGATTGGTTGCTTAGTGTGGAATCAAGAATTAATGGACGCAGTGCAATTTTCTGTGGGAGGGGAGCTTCTTTCTATTCGTCTTGCACCTTCTGAGATAGGTATGGGTATAGAAGACATATTTAAAATAACTTTGTCATCTTTTGCAATTTATTCTACTTCAATGTTATTGATCTAGGTATGACTTATTGTTTAATGTGTTGCCCTACATTTCTCAGATGGAAATAAGCGCAAGAAAACCATCATTGCTAGTACAGTGAGCATTACTCTTTTTGTGATTTTGGGCTTCGCTGCCATTGGTTTCTGGAGATGCAGAGTGAAACATAATGGTAACACATTGATGACTTTACTATCTATATTTTGTCAACAAAATGATCGATATCATATAGAATAAAAATGAGCATTTCCCCTACAGAAGATTTCACTAAATCGAGTCCCTCAGATATGCTCTTTAACCACCATGTGATTACTATATGTTAACCACTAACACACCAGTTCACTCTAATTTCAGCTCATATATTAAAGGATGTATGGAGGAATGATTTGAAACCAAAAGATGTCCCAGGTTTAGATTTATTTGAGATGAGTACTATACAAACTGCCACTAATAATTTCAGTCTATCAAACAAAATCGGACAAGGTGGATTTGGTTCGGTGTACAAGGTCAGAAACATTATTTCCTTTTTGCTTCTTTTTTTTTTCCTATTCTCTGTTTATGTTCTTTAGATGACCTTGTGCATTCTTTTTTTTTTTAGGGAAAGCTGCAAGATGGAAAAGAAATTGCTGTAAAACGGCTTTCTAGCAGCTCCGGACAGGGCAAAGAGGAGTTTCTGAATGAAATAGTACTCATCTCAAAACTACAACACAAAAACTTAGTCCGGGTTTTGGGATACTGCATTGAAGGAGAAGAGAGGCTACTGATTTATGAGTTTATGTTGAACAAAAGCCTTGATACTTTTCTCTTTGGTAAGTCTTTTTTTTTTTGCCACATTTTCTTTCTGTTATTAGTTTTTCTCTTTGTGTACAACACCTTTTCTGATAGTATTTTCATTTTATTATTGCTTAGAATCAAGTAAAAAAGTTGAGATTGACTGGCCTAAGAGATTCAATATCATCCAAGGTATTGCACGTGGACTTCTCTATCTCCACCGTGACTCACGCCTCAAAGTCATTCACCGAGACCTGAAAGTGAGTAATATTCTTCTCGATGAGAAAATGAACCCAAAAATATCAGACTTTGGACTAGCTAGGATGTATCAAGGAACCGAATATCAGGACAACACTCGCCGGGTTGTAGGAACTCTGTAAGAACCTGTCTTGAAAAACATGATTAACTAGGATTTGTTGTTATAATCATAGACCATTTGATGTACGTGCAGAGGATATATGGCCCCTGAGTATGCATGGACTGGGGCGTTCTCTGAGAAATCCGATATTTACAGCTTCGGAGTACTTCTGTTAGAAATCATTAGCGGAGAGAAGATCTCAAGATTCAGCTACGGCGGAAAAACCCTTCTTGCATATGTAAGTGCACAGATTCAACTGCCTGTTTTAAATTGCTCTTATATTCGCTTGTTTTGAGACCACAACAGGCATGGGGATTTTGGTCTGAAAACAGAGGTACTGATCTTCTGGACCAAGATGTTGCTGACTCATGTCCATGTGAGGTTGGAAGGTGTGTTCAGATTGGGCTTCTTTGTATTCAACACCAACCTGCAGACAGGCCCAACACAATTGAGTTGCTGTCTATGCTCACCACAACATCAGATCTCCCACCTCCAAAAGAGCCCACATTTGTTGTGCATACAAGCGATGACCAATCCATGCCTAATGCTTTAATCACCGTCAATGAGATGACGCAATCTGTGTTCCTTGGGCGCTAAGAAACAATGTGTGATGGAAATTGTGTTGTCAACTTATTTTTTTTTGTTTGAACGGTTTGTCAACTTTTTTTATTCTTCATTTCTAAACTATTTATAAACAAAAAAGGAGTTTAAATTAGTGGTTACCAACCACGGTTTCTGATAAATTCGAAAACCCAGTAGATTAATGACGAACCATAGAAGAACAGGAGTCCAAATGAGGACAATGCCGCATCAATAAGTAAATCAAGAGGGTGAAGAAGAA